AATGCTCATAAAATAATTATAAATAAATAAAAAATGAATACGGTATATTAAGTAAAGTTTTTCTTCTCTTCGTTTTTTGTGAATAAAACATTGAGATTCACTTTTATGACAACTTAATATATCAATTAATTATAATGCGATTATAGCTTGAAATATTACGTGCTATGTGTACTTAGAAAAACATACGATATCACCATTATAAAAAAATTTGCTGAGGTCCCGAAAAAATTAACCAAAGTCCCAAACCGTCTTTACCCAAGTCCCGAACCGTCTTGTCGCTAGTCCCGAAACGTCGTATCACTCAGGTCCCTAAACGTCGTGCACTCTATAGCTGTGTTTAAAGGTGTAGCTGCGCTGCCAATGAGGTCTATTACGACAATTTTCAACCTTTTTTGGTTCTCTATAAATCAGTGTTAATATGATCAAAATATAATATTCAAATTAAATGAAATGAAATATATTTGCATTTACTTACATGTCAATTATCAAAATTAGATTAATTCAGAAAAATGACATGGACAACTTTATTGTGGATGTTTATGCAAGGTTGTATTGAATATTACGGGACTAAATTAGCCGACACAGACGCCCCACTGACGACCACTATATAATCAATACAAATTACTGCGCATAGAAAGCGCGCGATGACCAAGTGAGATTGAGCATAGTTCAACCCCAAAAACAATGATATTCGGTAAACATGCCGTTGTAAATAGCAAATGTTCTGCTGGCATATAAACCACAATGCGCTTGTTTGTTTCTTAAATATGTGTAAAGCAGAAGTACACATGAATTGCAAAACGACACCGTAGGGAATAATCAAACTTCAATTAAAAAACAAAAAATTACTCATAATCACAACTCAAAGTTGAAAACTATAAAAATTTTGGATAAAGAAAATCAAATTGCCATAACTTTATTTACCATAAGTTTGTATAAATACTATTTGTTGATTAAGAAATTATATTACTACTAAAATTCAAATTTTGCTTACCGTATCCATGACAGTTAATTAATTCTCTAAGAATTACAAAGATAAGAAAAACTTTCATGACAAGCCAAAGCTGGCCCATCACAATTTTGGTAACTTTGAAATTGGTCGTATATGAACGCGTAGAGTTATTTTAATCAACATTCAGATAAAAATACAAATTATGAAATGGACAGGAAGAAGAGGAAAGGTTGCATGCTTATTGGTTCAACAATGAATTAATGCTAAAAATTACTCATAAAACAGCGATTTAGCGAATCTAATTTTTGGTTTCTACTATTTAAGAATTTTTACATTCACATTTCCCTATTCAAACAAACATGCATGTTAAAAAATTGAAAAGAGCTTAACACAACCCAAGATATGATTTTACAAAATTGGATAGAGTAATAAAGGAAGAAAAAAAAGCCAAGTTTCCTGCTCCATGTCTTATGCTTCAAGTATTATTTTTTAATTTTTTTTTAAATTTTGGTTGAAAGTTACTGAAAGTTGAATGCCGGTTGCTTAGATTAATTTTATTCTGCAGAAACTTTAAATGAAAAAAATACAATAGTGTTCAATCTCCTTAAACCTAAAACAATACAAATAGAAAAAAGATTAAAAATATTGACTCCTGGAAAGATCAGAAGTGGAATCAGGTGTCTAGGCGTATCATCCCCCCATCACACGTGCCATAAAGCCTTCGTTTGTTTGTTTGTATGTTGTTTAACGTCCCTCTCGATAATTTTTCACTCATATGGAGACGCCACCACTTGCCGGTGGAGAGCTGCAAATTTTGTCCTATACTCGGCACTTACGGCCATTGAGCAGTGAGGGGTCTTTTTCGTGCCAGCACCTACTGCGACACGGGACCACGGTTTATACGGTCTCATCCGAAGGACCGGTCTTCACGTCCCACAGTGGGTTTCAAACCCGCGACGTAAGGATCAACTCTCAACTTCGCGACTCTAGAGCAGACGCTCTAACCACTGCGCCACGCGGGCGACCCATAAAGCCTTTGTATTGATCAGGTAAACAGGTAATCTGTAGTCAGAATTGGTTAAAAGACAATGGCCTAACACTTGGTAGAAAGCGATACATTGTATTTACAAACAACGCCATTTTAACAACAATATATATATCATGTGCGAAATGCTTACTTTAATAGCGTTTGTTGAGAACCCTGTAAAATATAATAAAATATAATAAAAAAATAAACCATAATTCTCTGGCCGATACAAGGACCTTGTCAGCAAATACAATCTATCATTAAGTCGAATACTGACCGACGTTTTTCATACTAATTGTTAAGCCATTATTTTTACATTGAATTGTCTACGGATTTTCTGTTTTCCCGATCATGACAAGGAGCACACGGCGGCTGTGACCGGTCGGTAGTGGATGTTTACTACTCCATGGCACCCGATCCCACATCTGATGTTTTTAGAGGTCCGTGTTTGCTCTGCTTCTGATTTGTATTTTTTTCCTATGGACTTTTGAGCTTGATTACTGTTCGTTATCTCCATATTTGACACTTCTTGTTCTAACATGCATTTGTAAATAATTCAATGCACACTTTAAAAGATATTAATTTTTCACTTTGTAAAGAAATATTTCGCCAGAAACAAAGTCGGAAACGAAATATAGTTTTTTTTAATCATTATTCATGTTTGATATTTCAAAATGGACTTCAAGGCTGTGCTACCAGTGTTAAGAGACAAAGATTTTTTCTCACAGCTTTTTTATCGTCAACTTTCCTTATTTATGTCGTAATATTCTACTATCACCTACATATGGTGTAGATGTCTCCCAGCTTATTCGATACTCAAAAGCATGCTTTGACCGGTCGACAGGGGATGCTTTCTCCTCCTAGGCACGTAATTCCTTCTCTGGCATTTCCAGGGATCCGTTATATTGTTTTTTAGATTGATCACTGTTCGTTACCTTCACTTTTTTCACCATCCTAAATACAAACCAGTAGAGCTGATGTCTTATCAGACACTTCCAACAACACTTTGTCAACAAATTCTGGTCTGATAATTTTACATATAGAATTGTATCAGGCATATATCTTACTTAAAACAATGCTATTTAAATGTCCAAAAGTTACCTGGAGGAGTCCGATAATTACACAATAGGAGTTCAGACATCAATAGTTTTCTACCTGAAACCATCTAATAAGTAGACAAAAGAAAAGAGAACTTTTATTTTCTTTAGACAGTAAAATCAGTGAGTGAACTCTTTTGTTTCATTCATTCAATGGCAGTCGTTTGGCTTAGCAGGAACTATGGACAGTGGTCAGGTGATGAAGGATTTTTTTATGATTCGGAATATTTTTTTTATTCAGTGCGTTTGACATTGATACAGATACAGTGTTGGATTATATCTTCAAAATGCATGTAAAGTAAAAATGCGGATTTTTATCTAAAATTTTGATTGGATCTTGGGTTTTAAAAGTGCGGTAACTGGCGAACAAACCTCGTTAAATGAAGAGATTCACAGATTGGTTCCTTATCAGAAATGGATTTAAATTGGCTTATTCACAGTGCTGTATCGAAAACGCTTTGCAAAAAACCGAATGGAAAGTGTTACTTTTGGAGAAGGTAAAACTCCAGTTTCTTGTTGGATTTGCTATTTTTAACAACTTAATTTCCTCCCGTTCGATTTCCTTGACTTTTTTCTTCCTAACTTTTTGTTTGGTTTCTGGACAGATTAAACCTTGATTTCACTCTAGTTGTTGTTTTTTAACTACTGTCCGATTTTGTTATCACCGCCGTCCGATACTATGTTATTGGACTGCTAATTATTATTATCGGACGGCTACAGGTAAATTTTTAGACTGCAAGAACAAAGGCATGACGTCACAGCAATGTTTTAAGTAGCAATACACCGTTATCACCTGCATATGGAGTTTATGTCTCCCATGTGATTCGATACGCAAGAGCATGCTCTACGTACGAAAAATTTCTTAAACGAGGCAAGCTATTGACAAATAAGTTAATGAATCAAAAATATCAACAGTCTCGTTTAAAGTCAAATTTCGCAAATTTTATGGTGTATACAATGACCTTGTCAGCAAATACAATCTATCATTAAGTCGAATGCTGACTGATGTTTTTCATACAAATTACTAGTATTAGGTCATTATTTTCACAATGAATTGTCTACGGATTTTTCCGTTTTCCCAGTCATGACAAGGAACACACGGCGGACGTGACCGGTCGTCAGGTGATGCTTACTCCTCCATGGCACCTGATCCCACCTCTGATGTTTTTTTAGAGGTCCACGTTTGCTCTGCATCAAATTTGTATTGTTGCAATGGACTTTTTTAGCTTGATTTTTTTTTGTTATCTTCACACTTCATTTCATTATTATAACTGATAATTCAACTTCAAGGACTCTTCAGGAAGGAACATTCAAAAAACTTCCCTCTTCCCTGCACAGCAAAGTTATCATTCTAAGGACCCCTGTTGATTTGCAAATAGGAACATTGATAGTATTAGTGCTTTGATATGAAAAAATGTTAAACAAAATACACTAAACAACATACAACTTTGAAGGAATGAATAGTCATATAAAATGCATTACGCAAAAAAAATATTATTTTTTCAATCATTTACAGATTAAAGGCTGACAAAGTGTCAAAAAGTTTTCCTAAGCAAACACACACACTCACATTAATTTACGTGATAATTCTGAAAGCATAATTATGAGAAGAAGTCAATAAATAAAGTAACATACGGTTTACGATATGAAATATAGATGCTGTTAAGTTTATTTTTTACTATCCACTAATTTCAAATCACTGAAAATTGCTTGCTTTTCCTGTTTTAGCAAACAAATTCACTTTAAAGTTGGCATTGGGGAATGCGTAAAGGTTTACTGATAATCCTTTGAAGGATTAAAAAAAGAAAAAAAAAGTGCTTTTTGTGTTTTTTCGTATTCTTTAATAACGTTTTTCGTTATTTATTGAACGCTCTTCGAATACAGAAAGATGCAAAACACCAGCAGAAATTCCATGTAGCATTTACAAGATTTTCTAATTTGCAGTATTATTTATTCCCTCATAATTATGAGTGTTATCTTCATTGTTCAAAGTTCTGGTATCTGCCATTGTAATATACCGCTCCTTTCCTCTTTTTCCTCTTTCGTCTAACTGAAAATGTCTAGGAAAAGAATTTTTAAAACTTATAATACATTTTCATTATTTTGAGATTTTTCAAAAAAAAGTTCAGCCAACTTCAAATAATTCTTTGATGTTTTGCATAAAAATCTGTAAAAGGGTCAAAATTGTTGAAATTTAGATGTGAAATATGATATGTAAGATAAGGTAGTTTAAGAATCCAGGAAATTATTATATCCAATCCTTCCGAATCAAAGGAAAAAATAACTCCTTGCATAATATAAATGACAAACATGTAGTCAGGGCAAGTATTATAGACACTGGTTTATAACGAAAAAATTCTAAAAATCCAAATATCAAAGCAAACTTTAAAAAAATATACCTTATTTTGAAAATGATGATGACAACTGCAAATATATTTGATGTTAGAGAAAAGGCCATTCCTGCAATCCACGCAGTAGAGAGAGGTCTATGTATACAAACTAATTCTTCCTGAAACTCGGTAAAATCTGAAAGGAATTGTGAGCTCTGGAGTTCTGTTGTTTATTGATTCCTTTGTTAGTTTAAAAAAGACTTTTTATAAAGATTTTGTTGTTAAATCTGATTTTATCGGGCTTCCTGTAAAGTATCAGACAGTGACAAGAATAAGGTATAGTAAAGTGTGATAATTTTTTTGTACGTTTCAATTATCAGAAACTACAGTGTGTCAAAAAACAAGTTTCTCTTCAATACTATACGTCACTCACTTTGATGATCACAGATACGACCAATAAATGGTTCTTGACATCCGCCGTCACACGTACCCTCATAGCCACTACAGGTATCATTGTTACTGCAGTGATTACTACACAGGTGTCGGCAGTCAATTCCAAAGAAGTTTGGAGGACATTCTTAGGATATAAAAAAAGAATAAGAAAAAGAGGAACAAAGGAATCTCTGGTGGAATCATTAACTCAATGACGTTATCTTCCATTTATTCATTATTCCTTGGTCCAGTTTGCAGACCTTCTCCTCAATATCTTTCTTGTAGAGAATGGCACACAGTTAGATCCTTATATTTACTTATTACTAGGAAAAAAAGAATTCTCAATAATTCGCTAAAATTACCTGTGGTACAGTTTGGGGAACCCATCCACCCTACAGTGCATCTACAAGAACCATCGACATGGTTACGCGTTTCTAGACATCTAAAAGAAAATATCAGTGTGCAGTTTGTACCATAGAACCCAGGTTCACAAACTAAAAAGGGATCAAAACAAGTTGTAGTGCCCAGAAACTCAATCTAAATGGATCTAATAAACAAAAATATAAAAATACTGACATGTACGACTGTATTATATTTCAGTATCCTAAATGATTGTAAGTAATTACCGTCTTTGCAGTTGTTTCCCCTGTACCCGGCCGTACATCCTTTTTTACAACTCCCATCAATATGATAGCAACTCCCGTTGTGTGCACAGTGTCCACTGCAGGAATAACCACAATTCTTCCCAAACATCGCTGGAGAACACTCTAAAAACATCACAAACATAAACAATTGTCATTCATAAAAATAATCGAAACAACTTTTGAAGAGTAATTGAAATATACGTTCCTTTAATTAATAATAATTGCATATTAAAAAAATAGTCCGGAAGTTAGATTTTAATGGTGTTTGACTTGTGAGTGCAATTTACAAATCTAAGTTTTGGCTGATTAAGCACATGTATACTAGCTAGGGATGGCAATGGTTTACCGGTGAACGAACTAATCTGTCAGAAAGGTCGTAACCGGGTACAAGTTTCATAAAATGTTAGTAGTAACATATGTAAATAATATACATTTAGTACAAATCAACTCATAGGTAGTGTCAGTGTGTTACAAATTAAAATGCTGCAATCGAGCAAATAATTCACATTAATGTTAAAGTACCTCCTCATAAAAATGACTAACTTTTTTTTTATTGACGCGCTAAAACAACTTATTTTTCTACTCAGCAATGTTTTATCTGGTAATTCAGTGAGACACTTGAAATTTATTCAGTGAAACGCCATCATCACCATCGACAGCCTGGCGATATCTCAAGAGAGACCGGGACGGCAAAATGGTACAAAAACATAAGTCTAAACAATCTTTACTCTTTCGTACGTTCTTATTTATATCCAACAACAATGAATGTGGGGTCAATAAGTCTATAGCAGACCCCTCTCCTTCTTTGGTGACATTAAATAGCACAAAATTCCCACAACTTGTAAATTATCGTGAAAGTATCTTGCGATCCCCGCAACATTTGTGCCGTCAGAGCGATTTTATTATTATCTTTTTGTTGGTGGTGGTGTGTTTTGGTGAATAAGTTGCATAATCTCCAATAATCATCATTATTTAATGAAATCATTTTTTTTTAAAAATAAGAATAACGGTGGAGAAGCAAATCTGATGTTGATATTATTAATGTCGGTGAAAATATATGGCTTGAGTCTAATTGATATAAATAGCAGAAAAAAATTATCTTTATATATATATTTTTTGATTTTGTTAAAAAGCAAATAATTCTAATTATTATACATTTAAAATTACAAACAAGTCTTATCTGTTCGTTTATCCGGTTACGTGGTCGGAAAATTTACGACTAAACGGTTGCAAAAATTTATCCGATTGCAATCCCTAGTACACGTATAATGATTTTTCATCAGACTTGTACCTTTTTTACACCTCCCTCCGAAATATCCAGGGTCACATTCAGTGTCACACATTCCTGTACCCTTATCAAACGGTTCTCCATTAAAACAATGGCCACAGGTTAATATACAATTTGGTCCGTACCTACCATTTTCACATACTGGTAAAAAATACAACAGACTGTTCTTCAGTATATAAAGCATGATTACTGCGCATATAATACATAATGTTTACAGGTATGTATCCTTATTGACCGATTTATTGAGATTGATTATAATAAATGTTTCTGTTTACAATTGATATGAAAATAGAAAACGTTTCACCCTTGTCACAAAGGTCTCCAAGATAGCCAGGATCACATTCTGTTCCACAGCTTCCCGTCTCCTTGTCACAAGGAACCCCATTTAAACAGTGTCCACACTTGTACCTACATCTCAAACCATTTCTACCATTTCTGCATTCTGTAAGTGTAATATACATGACATTTTATTGCAAATAGCATTAGATACATTATTTCCTAAGATGCAAGGTTTTTGTGATGTTGCGAATGGGTGTAGATATTTGTTAGAAGAATTATATTGCAATATATTGAAATATTATACTGTACTTATACTTCTGTAAATTGGTGTGACCGGTCGGCAGGGGATGATCACTTCTCCATGGCACCTGATCCCATATCTGATGTTTCAGAGGTCCGTATTTGGCTGCTTTTAAATTTCTACTGTTTAAAGGACTTTTGAGCTTGAATACTGTTCGCTATCTCCATATATTTCATTAAATCTGATTCGTTGAGAAACATTTGTTAAAAATACTATTTCCCCTGAATGATGAAACCACGCCCTCCAGCGTCGTAGAGCGTAGTAATATAAGTTTTAGTATTTTTGAAGTATTTTCTGATATCGAAAGAAAAAAATTCTTGATATCCAAAATTCGATTTCATATCAAAAATAATTCTTAATATCGAGAATTTGATTTTTCATATCAGAAAATTATTTTCTGATACAAAAAAAAAAACATCGAATTTTTGATATCAGAAAAATTATTTTTTTGATATTAGAGAATCGAATTTTTGATATCAGAAATTAATGTAGGTTTTCTGATATCAATAAATAATTTTCTGATATCAAAAATTCAAATTCTTGATATCAAGAATTCTTTTTAATATTAAGAATTAGTTTTTGATATTAAAAATTCGAATTTTTGAAATCGCAGATGAGTTCCTGTCAATGTTTCCTGTATACACTTGACAAAATTGCTAACGCACCAGTAATGCATTTTAATATTTTACTTTTCAAAATTTGTTTTTGATGTATTTGATATGTAAATATGTGAACAAAGTATTTACAAATAAGGTATGTGAACAAAGTATTTACAAATAAGGTACTAAAAGTCTTAGCTGATAAATAACTAATGTCCATGTTAACTAAAGTGAAGCCATTTCATAGGGGAAAAAATGAAATTCGTGCTCACGCCTTTTGGAGAAATAAATTTCATTTTTCTTTCTTTGTGTTCTTTAAGTTTGTACTTATTAAAAACTCGGAAAAATTACACCGTTTTCGGCGTTTGACCATAGAGGAGCGCGCAAAAGCAATCGCTATGGCTTTTTCAGGGTTATCCTTTGGAGAAATTTGTAAAACATTAAAACAAATAAAAGATTTTCTTTCTTTTAATCAAAAATTGTTGCAAATTGATAAACAAACATCAAAATTACTTCTATAGATAGCGAAGAAATTAAGTAATCACCATACGACAATTTTAAGATTGTTACACAAAATTGGGACAACCGGAAGTTAGGTGGACTGGGTATGGACACCAAGGCACTGGGTGACTACTAGGCGATATGATCGTCAATTGCTGTATATTATTTGATTTCCAACTGTGAGACTGCTTCTGTTGCAACCTCACTGATCACCATCAGTAATCACTAACCTCACATCCGGGCAGTGCATGTCGGAAAACTGTCTTTCCAACGAGAGGGTCCTTTAAGGGTCTTGTCATGAACCAAAAAATTTGTAAATAACACAAACGAGAAAAACAAGTGGTGCGTTAGCAATTTTGTCAAGTGTATACAACTTTTAGAACAATAAGATTTATACTCTAGACTACACAAACCCTCTGAAAACGGTTTACGGATATCTAGAATAAGAGTGTATAATGAAATCTCGTTTAACAGATTCAAATAATTACATAATACAAGGAATCTTAATATTCTTACCTTCCTGACATTTTGATCCCAGCCATCCTGCCGCACACCTCAAACAATGGCCGCTTTCAATGTCACACCTATGTTCCAGGCAATTGATTGGGCATATTAAGTTGCAGTTTATTCCATACATTCCTGATTTACAACCTATGGAAAAAGTTGTTCTCAATAAATACCTTTTCCACATTAAAGTTGTCGATGTTCAAAGTCATCAAATTTGATTAATTTTTTGATCGATTGTATGTTATTTTACGCCCCATTCGGGATTTTTTTTTTTACCCTGGTAGCGAAGTCACAAGCTTTGGATGAAGTGCCACAATCTTCAATCTCTGCATGGCGCTTGTGTTTAGGAGTAAACTTTTTTTTTTTCAATCGTGCAAACGCATAGCATAGGAACAGTATCTTACTATTTTAAACGTTTTAAGTTTGACAAAAAAAGAAAGCCGGGAACAAAATCGAACCATAGCCTCCCAGTCGGCGAAAGCGAGCACCCTACAACTAGGCCATCGCAATCGTTAGTAATCAAGACGACAAAAACGTTATATCCAATTTATTTTTTATTTGAATTCATTAGAACTTATTTGTTCTTCCTGTAATATTCATCCATCTTAATAAACACGACTGTAAACAAAAATAACTTGCATGATAGAATAATATGTGTGTCAAAAATGATGGATTGTATTCACATTGTATGTTTTTGAAAATTACTTGCAATTTATCATATCTTGCTAGCCAATATATTGTCTAGAATGTAAACTGCACAAGAAAACTCTACCACATTTTTTTTTGGGGGGGGGGGAAATCGTTTTCAGTAGTCTGGAAGTGATAAAAAATTAGAAAAACTACAGAAAACATATGTTTTGGTTCCAGCTAACAAAGCTTGTAAAAATGTAATCTCTGTTTGTAAGGTTCATTAATTCAACTACGTTTTAGAGGAAGTCTGTTTTATTACACATCTGCCAATCAA